GGCATGGCAGGCACGCTGTGAGTGTCTGTTTGTGTCATGCATGCAATCAGCACTTGCATGGACACTCCGGTGCCCTGCCTTTTTAGTGTGGAAAGTTTCGCAGCAAAGGATGCTGAGTCGAGTCAGTAGCAAAAACGAATGTGTTCAGTCTAGCTGAAGTAATCACATCTCTTGCCGGGGAAAGCCTGGAGCCAAAAGCACCGGGTGCCCGCATGGGATTCGGCCGCAAATCTCTGGTAACTGCAGAACTAGGGAAGCTTCATGGTGAGCTACCTGGCAGAAAAACAGAGATGGGGGGGATCAATGTTCAACAAATATGTCAAGGCATGTCCAGGCCATATGATCTGACAATGTCCCTTAGGACAACATTGGTGTTGGTTCCGAGGTCCATATCCCAAACACTTTGGGAAGGGTGGTCATCAAAGAGGCAGACAATGATCATCTGCCAAGCCCCGGGGTTCTTGGGGAAAAAAAGCAGCCCTCCGGGTCGTGATCGTTTTTGCTCCGGAGATCAAAAGCCATCTCCCATACGAGTTTGAACAAAAAAATGTCTGTCCATTCCCGTCATCCAAAAGAATCAGCATGCAAAAGCCCATCTGATGGATCTCATGAAAACAGATAGGGAAGATTCAGATTACCGCCAATCCATTAAATCTCTGTGGTATCTTGTTAAGACTGTATATCCTGGTCTATTTCTTTACTGTATCTCCTCCAACATTAGAAGTTCATGGATGAGTCATGGAAAGAGGATAGGGAATGAAGATACTATGAAAATATGCTTGAATTGTTATTGTTCCTCTCTTCCGTCAACAAGAAAATACGTTCAGCCCATCCCCAGTACCCAACGGGAAAAGAAAAAGACTCCAACCCCCGCCCTTTTCAGCGCTGAAGCCGCCACCGCCCGCAGCAGCGGCACCAGCTGCTTCGCATGGCCCCCCGCCTCACATGCCTCGCAGGCTGCCAGGCGGCTCAACTCCTCGGTCAGGCTGCTATCGGATGCCCTCCCGCAAAAAATCCCCAACAGCAAGCTCCTTTTAGTGCTTGCACCACCCCGCAGCCCTCGCAGAACCTCGTGGAACCCTCGTGGAACCCTGGTGGAACCCTGGTGGAACCCTGGTGGAACCCTGGTGGAACCCTTGTGGAACCTTCCCTCAGGCCCGCCCCGGACCACCCTTGGAGCCTATCTGGGCTGAGACCCCAAAGCTTCCAGCTGTTGGGGGAGGAAAAAGGCAAGTACACCCACCAGAACAGATGGGTCTGTCATTTTTGGGGGGGGGCTTTCCGGTTTTGAACGGGAAACGAAGAGGAAAACCGCTGTAACATTTAGAGCATCCACTGTACCATCACCTTTGGCCAATTGCAGTTTCCTTTGGGTTTTCGTGCCGCCCTTTGGTTGCAAAGAAGGGAAGTTTCCTGGGTGGACAACATCTACGCCAGGCAGTTGGGATCGATGAAACCCTCTGAATATTGGGAAAGCCGTTTAAACTGGCGGAACTTTGTCATTCGGTCGCCTTGATGAAAGCAGGCTGTCCAGTTCCCTCAGGCTCGTTCCACATGGAGCAGTCACCCACAAAGCTATTGTCTTCCAACTTCGTCGTCAGCTCTGGCATGGCTGCGCCCCCAAACGGAAGCAAGGCCAGGTGAAGCTCGGATATTCTGACTCCACTGAATAAAAACAAATAATAAATCATAGTAGCAACACATTCCCTCTAGGCAGGGAGGGGCACTGCAGCGTGCAAACGCTTTGGCCCTCCGGGGGCGGGACCGTCTGGGCGCCAGTGAAAAGGCCCAGCGTGCGGCGCCACTGGCGTCGATCGCTGGCGCTGGCCTGGACAACAGCCTCGCGAGCGAGGTGGTAGCGCCCAAGCCGCAGCTTGGGGTCACGGGCAAACCAAGGGAAAACAAAAAAAACGACGCCCAAACCGCCCAAACCGCCCAAACCGCGCAAACAGCCCCAACCGCCCAAACCGCCCCAACCGCCCCAACCGCCCCAACCGCCCGCTGATCTTGCCGGGCATCCCCTCGCCCTGCGCTGGAGACCTGCACGGCGTTCACCGCCGCCAGGCGCCACAGCGCCAGCGAGGCAGGCCAGTGCCAGCCAATGCCCAGGGCGGCGCCGAAGCCTCAGCTCCCCAAACGGCCTTGACTTCCGGTCCTTTCGGGCTTCCCTACCTGAAAATGGGGGGGGGGGGGTTCAAGGTTTACTCAGGTTGACCCCAATTGCTGGTGTACATAGGTGGCTTGGTTCTTCTTTTTTTGTGTTTATTTTGGACCCTCTTCTTGTAGAGGGTAAGTGGGACACCACCAACCTCCAAATCACCAATCCAAACCACCAGCGTTTGTCTCAAAACAGGGGATAAAAGCGGGGTTGATGCAAAGCACCCCGTTTTTGTTGGCTGATTTTGAGGGGAAACCCTTAACACGGGGGGGATGATCCAAATTTTAGATAGGCTGACCGTTGGCTGCAAACCGCCCCCCTCCCCGAAGACTATGCCACCCCCACAAACAACCAACCTTCTGAAATCTTCTTAAACCTTCTTGCATGTCGGCCAACATGTTGTGCAACATATTTATCCCGGACTTTTAATTCTGGGTTACACATTACTCTATAGAATATTGTTGGTGGTGGCAAATATGTCTTTTGGGAGAGGGCTTAGCATATATATATATATATATATATGAGTTGTTTGTCATTTGCGGGGGTTCCTTGCTCACATCGTCATGAATTGACGAAAATCCCCGCACCTGCCCGCACCTGCCCGCTCGGCTCTGGTGGGGTGGTGTGTATGCTAGCCTTCGCTAACACGCGGTCGTTTTGTCACCGGAATGCACACGCAAACCACCTGCCGTGCAGATGCGGTTCCGGGCCTCAAAGGCGTGCTGTATAGCTCACGTATGTCTACAGAGAGTTCAGGGGTTCCGAGAGTAAGAGCGAATTGCCAATTCCACCAAGGAAGCCTGAAATCATCTTCCTTTGGGTTTCCCTTTGAACCCCGTCCCAAAGCGGGCCGACGATTTCAAGCCCAAGATATTGATTTAGTCCGGCGGCTCACCCCGTCCGCCCGGATGCCGCTGCTGGCCAGCAAGAGCAGCGCTACGGGCCAGCGCTCGCAGAGGGCCAGGCCTGGCCGAGCAGAGGATGCATTGCACGGACTGCCGCGCGCGTAGCTGCGAGTGCGCTGAACCAAAAAACCGCGCGAGCGCGCAAAAAACGCGCGAGTGAAATACACGTGAAACACGTGCGCCTGTGTTGAATGACACAATGCTTGGCTCTACCTGGAAGGACCACATGCTTCGCAGCGAGAAGAGGAGCCTCGGATGTGAGCAAGTTGTCTGTTCCTGGCGC